ACGTACGCGCCAGTCTCTAATCTTCAGTTTCAGTCTTCGACGTTTGCTGAAGGATCTTTGGTGTGAGTGTTGTTTTCTTGAAGTATCGTTGTCTCTAAATGATTTACAAAGCGAGTTCTTCAGCGATCACTGAACATACTCAGTGTATTGATCGCTGGAACTGAAAATACAGAAACTAAAATACATCAAAAGGAAAAAGGGATTATCATCAAATCACTGAGAGAGAGGATCAACAACCTCTCTCCTTTAATATTTTAATAAATCTCCCTCTCTTTTAATATTTTGATTTGTTTAATTACATTCATAGACCTAAGATCTTCTTCGTCTCCTTCTTCGTCTCTTTCATCAATAACGATCCCCTCCATTTTTTTCATCTTCTTCTTCGACAAAACCCACGATGGTTAACTGTGAGTGTGCTTCACTGAGAACCATGGCTGACAACCGTCGTGCATCAACAGAGAACCATGGCATAATTCTGTTCTCGGCTTTGAAAATCTTTTTGTGCATGTGCATGAAGTTATCTTCTCAAAATGAAAGACATCCAGCGTGAAGAATGTATAAAATTATGCGACAAGACCAGATATCCACCATGGCATGATCATAGCCTTTTTTTGGAGAACTTCTGGCATGACATATGACGATGTACCACTGCCACACTGAGTATGAAGCATTCCTTTGTTCCTCAACTGCTCCGACAATGTAGACAATCCAAAATCGGAAAAACTTTGAGATCTTCGTTCTCGTCTAGGAGGAGATTCTTCGGCTTCAAATCATGGTGGGAGACACTGCGAATATGGCAGTAATGAATGACATTGACCAGTTGCTGGAAATATTTTCTTGTTAGATCTTCTTTCAATTGTCCTTTTGCAACTTTAGCGAACAACTCGACGCCTCTCACACTCCATTACCATAAAGATCTTGGTTTAATTCTCCATAACTTCCTTCAACTGAACGAAGTTAGGGTAGTGGACCAGCCACATGACGACAATCTCCCTGGTGATCTGCTACATTAGACCTTCTTTTCTCACTTGCTTTGTGTTGATAACTTTAACAGTGACACCCTCCGTCGTGACTAAATCTCTCACATAATAAACTTTTGCAAACATTCCTTGGCCAACAACCTCCCCATCTCGTATTTCCCATAGATTCCTTATCGATCTCCGACGCCGGTACGAGATTCCTCCAAAGGATCATTCGTTTTCATTTTTGAAATCTAGGTTTTTAGAGGGTAACTGAGGTTTGTTTTGGTGTATGATGACGGTTAGTTTACATTGAGTTAAGGATGGTGGAAGAACAAATAATTAAATGGAGACTAGCAGTGGCAGTGAGGTTTGTCAAATGTTGATTGTAGAGATGTAGTTTTGTTGGTAACATCTCTATCGGATGGTTTGTTGCTTTCAAATGAGAGGAAAAGATTTCTTTTATTAGAATACTAAAGAAGAGGGTGTTTTTAAAATGGCACATGAGAGTCTAACGGCTCCAAAGTAACAAAGTTTAGTATGAAGGACCCAATCTGTAACGAAATCGAAACCACAATGACCAAAAATGTAATTAATTTATTTGGAGGGACCCATTCTAAAATTATAAGACAATACTTATCTTTGCTTTTAATATTCAACCAAAATCCAGACAAAAATCATTAATTAGTTTCACCAAATTTAGTTTCACCTTCAAGTTACAAGAGTGATGATCGCCATGGCCACCACCACTGTAATTACCAAAATACCCTCTACTTTTCCTCATATTCCTCTCTCTTCTACGCTTCATTTTGACAAAACAATGGTCTCCTGCAACCCCAGTTGACAAAACATTGATCTCCTGGAACCCCAGTAAGATTTCTTGATACATCACACCATTTTTTTGTTTAGTTTTGACCTTTGAGTTTCGATCTTGTATCCATGGTAACCGTTTATCCAGAATCATTGCTGGTTTAACGTCAAAGGTCTAGTTCTAGGGTTTCATTCCACTGCTCATTCCCTGTTTTGATTGAAGAAGTTACTGTTCTACTGATGCTTAATTGCTTGAATTTGGTTAAGGGTTTGATATGATTTTGACAAACCATTTATGGGTTATTGAAATGATTTGATATATTTTGGGGGAAAATCAAATGATTAGTAGAATAGATTCGAGTTCATCTGGGTGTTTTAGGTCTTCATATGTGAATTGGGTACATTGTAAAAGATCTCGTTTGAGGTCAATCAACAGATTCAATGTGATTAGCTCTTGTTTGTTTATTGTACTAGCTATAATTTGTGGGTATGTATACTTGTATGAAGCTGTTCAGCCTGTAACTCTTACGGAAAACACGACCATTGACTCAGAGGATGATTCAAAGGGGGTTTGTGATCTTTATGATGGAACTTGGGTTCTTGATGAAAGATACCCTCTATACAATGCATCCCAATGTCCTTTTGCTGAGAGAAGTTTTGATTGTTTAGCTAACGGTCGGAGAGATAAAGGGTATCTGAAATGGAGATGGAAACCGAAAAATTGTGATATTTCTAGGTTTGATGTTGGGGATACTTTGGAAAAGCTTCGTGGGAAAAGAGTTGTGTTTGTTGGTGATTCTTTGAGTAGGACTCAATGGGAGTCTATGATATGCTTGCTAATGAACGGTGTGGATGATAAAACGAGCGTTTATGAAATCAATGGAAACAAGATAAGTAAAAAGATTAGGTATTTGGGTGTTCGATTTAGGTCTTTCAATTTCACGGTTGAGTTCTACCGATCCGTTTTCCTAGTGCAGCTTGGTTCTGTTCCAAAACGTGCACCAAAGAGGGTTCGATCAACACTTAAGCTTGACGAAATGGATGCTGTTAGCTCGAAATGGATCGATTCAGATATTCTTGTGTTTAATACGGGTCATTGGTGGAATCGTGCGAAGCTTTTTGAAATGTAAGTCATTCTTAGCTAGCTAGCTACTTTGTTGGTTTTGTGTGATTTCTTGTCCATTTTAGATGAATTTTACTCTTATTTTGGATGTTCATTGCATTTTGTTGCTTTTTAATGTTAACATGGCTAACCTTGAGGATTTAGCTCACCCGGTGGAAAGGCTTTGGCCTTTGAGGCTCTACCCTAAAGGTTATCGGTTTGAGTCCCACCAAGGCCAGTGAGGATCTTCCTTGGTATTCTCTAGGTCCCCATGGATTTAGGAACTGGCCCGGATACCCGCGGTTAACAAGAAGAAGAACTTTCATGGTGTTTTCACAAAAATATTGTAGTTTCACGATTATATCAACTACATATTTTTTTGTCCAACTGAGACGCGGTCTCATATAAATTCAAGTGCCCAATAGGGTCCAACTAGTTCACGAAGCTCATCGAAAACGTCCCTGATGGTAGGAATTGAATGTGAGACTTATAGGCCACCCCCGTGGATTGTGAGTCCAGTAGTTGATTGTGTATGCTTTTGTTAGAAAAAAATTCTTTTAAGGTCATGTTTGGCAACCATAAGCTAGCTTATTTTTTGAGCTTTTGAAAATGCTCCTTTTGGTCAGCCATAAACGAGCTTTTTGAAAAACTGCTTCAAGTAGCGTTTCATAAGTCTTCCAATTATGTTATTTAATTTTTTCCTTATGAAATTTTAGTGATCATTCTATTAGAGTTTGCAAAGAGATATGACGACAAAGACAAACTAAAATAGAAATGTGGACATTTAGTTTGAGACAGAGGGAATACCATGCAACACATCTGAATCGGTTTTTTGGACAGGGGTTGTTATTTTAAGGTCGGCGGAAGGCTGAAACTTGGAATGTCAACCATGTCTGCGTATACCACAGCATTAACCACATGGGCTTCGTGGGTCGAAAATATGGTCGATACAGATAGGACCCGTGTGTTCTTTAGGACTTTTGAAGGCAGTCATTGGAGGTACGTTACTGTATTTTTATGAAATTAAACAGTTTAAATATTATGAGCATGGGTTTTAGAAAAAATATGCACATTTTGACTTTCAAGATCAAATCTTTTACCTTTTAAATGCAAAGTTCATGTGCGTTTTTTGCTGATTATAAATCTTGAGCTGTATGTTTCTTGTATTCGTTATGAACTTTAATGTAGTTATTGGTTTTGGAAGTCTTGTTAAGGGGCCTTTTTGATTGTTTTTCAATTAAACCCTGTATGGATTAAACTAAATTGTTGTTTGTTTGTTGTTGAAATAAACTGTCAGAACGATATAAGTCGTGTCAGAAATAAAGTTGAAGCAATCAGTTCACATCAAGCCTTTCCTATGGATTAAGCTAAATTGCTATCTGTTTGTTATATTGAATAACTGGTTGAATGATATAAGTTGTATCAAATATGAAGTTGATTAATCTGATTAAGCTGTCTTTATGGATCAAGTTAAATTTTTGTTTGTTTGTTGTGCAAAATAACTGTATGGATGATGATATAAGTCATATCAAATAGGAAATTGAATTAATCAGTTTTCTGTTAGGTCTTGTATGGATCAAGTTGCTAAGCTAATTGCTACCTGTTTGTTGTGTTGAATGGCTGTTTGAATGATAACCCGTATCAAATATGAAGTTGAATTAATCAGTTCTCCATTAAGCCCAGTATAGATTAAGCTGTCCTTATGGATCAAGCTAAATTGTTGTTTTTTTTTTTTTTTTTTTTTTTTTTTTTTTTT